TTGCCCCCAAGGAACAATTTTGTCCGGAGGTCAATCCGGTTGCGGAAGGAAGGTAGGTTAGGATGCAGCAGTTGACACTAAGCGTGGGGTCTACAATGATCCGAGTAGCAGGAGGTCCAGGGAGTAGAGCTGTGTGTGTGTGTGTGTGTGTGTGTGTGTGTGTGTGTGGTCAGTGTCCTGGGGGGCTTTGGGAGGTGTATGTATGGAGGACAGTAAGGCGGGAGGCCCAGGGTCCAGCCTGTGTGTGATGTGTTATATGTGTGTATGTATGTATGCATGTGTGTGTGGGGGGGGTAGTGAGGTGGGATGTCTGGGGTCCAGCGCTCTGTGTGTGTGATGTGTGTGTGCAGGACAGTGTGATGGCAGGTCCACTGTGTTTGTGTGTGTGTGTGTGACAGTGAGACGGGAGGTCCGGGGTCCAGCACTGTGTGATGTGTGTGTGAGCAGTGTGTGTGTACAGGACAGTGAGGGGGGGGGTGTCCAGCACTCTGTGTGGTGTGTGTATGTGTGTGTGTGTGTGTGTGTAGGACAGTGAGGCAGGAGGTCCGGGGTCCAGCACTGTGTGATGTGTGTGTGAGCAGTGTGTGTGTATAGGACAGTGAGGCGGGGGTCCGGGGTCCAGCACTCTGTGTGAATAAGTGGGGAGGGAGGGGGTCCACGGGGCTAATGCTCTGGGCCTGGCGCCCAGGGGTGGAGAGGGGTGAGGTAAGGGTGGAGGGGAATCGGGGACCTGCAGAGCTGCCGCCCAGACCCAGCAGTTCTTTTGCGTCCACTGAGTCAGATCCTTCTCTGGCTCCTACAGAGAAAGACACCATTCCCCCAGCCAGGCCGTCAGAGTGCAGGGGCCTGGGAGGAGGGGCTGAGGGCCTGGGAGGAGGGGCTGAGGGCCCGGAACTTTATGTCGATGTCTTCTCTCTCTCCAGATCCCGTGTGTGTGTGTGTGTGTGTGTGTGTGTGTGTGTGTGTGTGTTTAGAGAGACAGAGATACACTACCTTGGATCTAAAAATGCTTAAGAGCAGTTCTAGGACTGAGGTGGGTGGGGCCTGGCACTACACTCTCAGGGATGTGTTTAATTAGAACTGCCTGGGGTCGTGGTGGGTTACATATTGGGCTGCTAACCTCAAGTCCAAAGTTCAAAACCACCCACTGCTCCCTGGGAGAAAGATGAGGCGTTCTACTCCCGTTTCAGGCTTGAAAACCCACGGGGGGGGGGGGGGGGGGGGGGGGGGCGGGGAGCACGCGGCAGTTCTGTCCTCCAAGTCACCGTGATCAGGATGGTCTTTGGGTTTGGCAGACCCCATTGTTCCTAGGTGAGGGAAGGGAGGCACAGAAAGGGAGTGGCCGGTCAAGATCCCCAGAGGCTTGAATTAGAGGAAGACTCTCCTGCTGCTCAGGTCAGGCATTCGCTGGGGGGCTGCTCACATGGACAGGAGCAGCTACCTCTGGTTTTAACTTTCACCCAAAGCCTCACTTCCCCCATCTTAAGACACCATTCAAAACCATCGCTCCTTCCTCACGGAGGCGCTGGGAGAAGGAAAAGACTTCATTAGAACAGAGCCTGGTACAGAGTAAGCACCAAGTCAATGGTAGGAGGTAATGGTAATACTACCAGGGTTTCAAAAAGGGAATGCCAAGATAATTTTCCATGCAAACAGTATCCAGTCACTTAAGCTTTTAATCTGTACAGGTCAACAATTCAATAGTTTCCTTTTCTCAACAGTTTTAAATTTTATACCATTGACTAAATCAATGACAGTATCAATAGAATTATCTTAGCTATATAACCATAGAGACATAAATGGATGTTGGGGTGGCACTTCATTATAGCCCTAATCTAAGAACAATTAGTTCTCATGACATGGCTCTACTTGATCCTTGCCCTCGTGAAGAGAATCCTGAACATATGGGTGCTACAGATAAGTGTGGTGAAGAAATCAGATGGTGCCCGGCTATCAGAAAGAATACCATCTGTAGTCTTAAAGGCTTGTCTTAAAACAGGCAGCCATCTAAGTGAGGCATCAGGTAAGTTCACTTGGAAGAAGTACACCAGCCTGTGAGATCATGGTTCGTTAATCATAAAATCTAAATCTGGAGGAGGCACGGTATTAGAGCTTAAATTCTGAACACCCAGTTTACAGAAGACTATGAATAATCGTAGAAACCCCAAATTCACTCGCCAGGTTCCCACATGGGTTAAGCCTCCATTGAATTCCCTCTGACCGTAGCCGCAGAATGTGAATAGCCTTGCAGTCAGACAAAGTGCACTGCAAAGTTGATTATGGCAGGTGTAGTTAGGTTCAAGTGTAACACCGTATCATGTGATTTCCCTTGTGATCCATTTTAAAGTTGTTTCAGTTATTAATATTTTCGACTTTCCTTTTGATTGCGGTTTCTCTCTGTTTTGTCATTATTTTTGGTTGTGTCATGTTTATATTTTGAATGATTTTTTTTTTTTGGTATGTGAAATCCAAGATAGGTAAACCTATATAGAGAAAGCGGGTTAACAATGACCTGATAGCAGGGGAGATGTGTGTGCGGCGGAGGAGCCAACAGCAATAGAGGGTGGGAACGAAGGAAATGTTCTGAAATTGATTGTGGTGATGATTGCACAACCAACCCTTCTGAATACGATCGAACTTCTTAAATTGCATGCTATGTGAATTCGATGCCAATAAAACTATTAAAATTGCCAATAAATAAAAAGACAATTGAAAAGCCAAAGAAAGACCGTCTTGGAAGCCAACCCACAGGGGCAGTTCTACGCTTTCATAAGGGGGCCGCTGGGACTCAGCACAGATTGAGGCTGTCTGAGTTAGTAGGCGCTGTCTCTCTGTTTTTGAGGGAACCACCCAGTCTCGCTGGGTCTCCTGGGGGCTCGCCGGCAGCCAGACCAGGGTGGGAAGGCCGACGAGGCAGCCACTATTGTTGGGGGAGGATCTGCCCCGTGGCAGGGTCGTCCTCCTCTCCGCAACCGCCCCCCCTCCCCGTCCCCCGGGCCTGTATTTACACACTTGGCACACACTTCCCCCTCTTGCGTTCCTCTGACTCACTGCTGTCCAGACCCATCCTCTGGCCGCCGCTCCACGGTTATCAGCGGGGAGCCCCTCAAGGGCGGGGCTCAGTGCTGGGTCACTGCTCCCTCAGCCCAGCCCGCAGAGGGGGGTCAGCAGGGGGGCTGCCTGCCACGTGGCTGCCGGCCGGCCCAGTGTCTGTCTGTCTCCCTTCTTGTCCCTTGGTGGGCCCAGCTGGGGAACAGGCTTCATCGCATCTCGTGGGGCTGATTCGGTGCAGCTGCTCGTCGTTCTGAGAACTGGGTGCACAGTCAGGTGCTCGCTCCTTCCCGGGAGGCTGGTACCGTTCTGGGCTCCATTTCACAGGGGAGGAAACCGAGGCGCAGGGAGGGTGAAGGGATGTGCCAGGGCCACACAGTGGGCAAAGAGTGGAGCAGGGATTTCAGCCCCTTAACCATCACACCCCACTGTGCTGAGGGCGTCCCCTCCGCGTGCCTCCCCCACCCTTTGGTGACCTGGCGAATGAATGAATGATTTGGTTCTCGGTCACATTCCTCTTCGGTCGTGTCATATGCTCATCACTCCTTTTGCTCTTGCCAAAGGACCAGCCTTTCCCTTTGTCTGTGAAATAAAGACCTCCCTGCCCATTCTGGCTGTCTATCCTGAGCTCTGTTCTTGGGGCTTTTTCTGAACCAGGTCCACCCCCACCTGCCCCAAGTGGGTCCCAACTCACTTCTTAACCCTCCCCTGCCTGCCCTGCCCATTCATGCACCTCTCCACCAGCGTGCCCTTATCACTTTCAAAGAGGGGGAGGGGCGGACGGCAGACATGTTTCTCATTGGTTGAGGAGCAGCCCTTGGGAGGACCCAGCCAATCAGAATCCTTCCTCTGGGACAGGGGACACACACACACACACACACACACACACACACACACACACACTTTTCTCCTGGTTGGTTTCCTGGGGGCTGGGGGTGGGATGAGGGTGGGGCTGCTGGAAGCTGGGTTTTCCAAGTTTGGGGTCATGTGAGTGTGGGGGTGAAGGAGTCCATGGGAGAAAGAAAAACGAAATCCACGTGGCCAGGAACGAGGAGAAATAGGGTTGGTACTCCCCCCACCCCGAGAGCAGTCTACCCTTCCTGCTTTCAGCTCTCCCGGGTTGGAGCTGCGAGATGTCTTTCTGGAGCTCTTGGGGGCTGGAAGGCCACCCCAGGCCCGCACAACCGCCTGCTGCACAGGCATGTCTATGGGCCTCGGGAAACAGGCATGAGCCCTGTGGCTGACACCCCAGTGCTCGCCCCTGCGCCCGGCCTCGGCCCACTCGCGCATGAGGGGTGGCGCAATAGTCCTTACTATTTCCGGGGCCAAAGGCTTCTCCTGGCCAGCGCCAGGGTTTGTCCATAGGGAGCTCCCCCAGTTCCCAGTGTCGCTGTGATGCCGTCTATAGGCGAGTAGAGGGGACCAGAGTCACAGGTGCCCACTGAGGCCAGGTGGCCGCCGGGTGCTGGCTGGCGCTGCCAGGGGTCCCTGAGTACATCAGGTGTCCATGTGGTGGGGCCGTAGCATTAAGTGCTGTCTTCATAACAACCTCAGTGAGAAGCAGAATTATGCTCCAGCTGAGGGGCTCTCCTAGCAGGTGTGCCCGCTGCACGGGTTCACTATAGCTTTCACATGCAGGAGAGGTCTGGGTGCTGAGCAGAGGGGCAAGGTGAGGCAGGAGGCTGGGGTCCACTGGTCTGCACCTGGCGCTTGCAGTGCCAGTCAGTGATAAGGCAGGAACTTAGCACCTGGGCTGGGACTATCTGCCCACTGGCTGTGTCAGCCTTGGGGGTCATCAACTCTTTAGTTCCTTCACCCGGAGAGGCCCTGGCGATGGCCCGCAAACCCACCTGGATATGCCCCAGTCCAGAGAGGCTGCCTTTGTTTCTGGGGATGTGCATGGATTAGAGTGACATTAGTTACCAGTGACAGAAAGCCTCAAGCAATACTTCTCAATAAAATGGATGTTTACTTCTCCCTTACAGAAATAACATCTGGTGGAATCCAGTCCAAGTTGGTTTGTTATCATGGCTCGGTGATCAATCGGGGAGCCAGGCTTATTCTGCCTGTCCTCTACCCCATGGTGTCCCATGGCTGCCAGAGTTCCAACCATCATCTCACCATTGCAGGCAGCTGGACGGGAAAAGTCGGGGAGGAAAGCCCCCCACAACTTGAAAATCACATGCAGGAAGTCGCACGGCTCGCATCCGGGGAAGTTAATGACATAGCAGCACTTAGCCTTCTGGGAGGATTCTGGGGGGCTGCAAAGGGCAATCTTGAGTCCAGGTGGCCAGAAGGAGGAAGAAGGGATAAGCATAGGGGGAGAACTAGCTGTTCCTGGCACAGTGCATAGCCTGAGTGGAAGGTTCCAGATGCGGGCTGACTCCCATAGGCTCCTCCTCGTGGCAGCCTGGCAGAGGGGGGTGGGCCTCTGGCTCCCAACTGGGGGGCTTGAGGTCCTCCTCCTCAGAGCGCCGGCGGTAACAGGAGCACACCTCCCTTGAGGTTTCCATGAAGGAGAAGATGAGTTGGATGATCAAGGCCAGCCACGCCATCCCAAAGAGGATCCACAGCGACACCATGTTCTTGTACCACACGGGGTACTTCCGGGAGGGGTCCATCCCTAGGGAGCGGTAAGAACAGAGGACAGAGGCTGGGAGAAGTTGGGACCATGTTCCCGTAACAGAAACGGGGCACATGGCTTGATGTGTCTGAGCCAGTGTGCGAGTCAACCGCCTGGACGATGGCATCCCATCATGGTCTGAGGTTCCTGATCACTTGGCATTCCAGCAGACTCCTGGTTGGCTACTCTGGGCTTGGAAGTTACATTTCCCCCTTGTTCTGGGACAGGCTCAATTTTGGCCCCATCCCAGCAGTTTCTCAAGTGGGGACCCTGCAACAGCAGCATCCCCTGGAGCTGGTGGGAAATGAACAGCCTGGGGTCCCACTGGGACCCATGAAATCAGAAGCTCTGCGTAGACCTAGCAGTCTGTTTTAACGTGCCCACCTGGAGCCCGACCGTGTGCCTGCTGTGTCACCCACTGGTCTCTGGGTTTGGGCTCCGTCTGTCTGAAGGGAGGCAGCTTGCTGGAGACAGAGGTTGTAGAATAATGGGTGGACTGCTGGTGTTGGTACTTGTCTGTTTTTACTAATGGTGTGCCCTCCAAGGAGCCCTAGTGGTGCTGTGGGTTGTGTGTTGGGCAGGGAACTTCAAGGTCGGTGGCTCTAACCCACCAGCTGCTCTGCAGGAAAAAGATGAGGCTGTGTGCTCAGTCTTGGAAACCCAATGGGGGTAGTTCTCCTTTGCTCTCTAGGGTCACCGTGAGTCAGAACTGACCTCATGACAGTGGGTTTTGGTTTGGGGTGGTAGTGGTGGTGTCAGACATCCACACAGCCAATGGGGAGAATTAAATTTCCTCATTTCCCCAAGGAAGCAAGGTTCTGGCAGATGGAAGTCTGATGGAAGTGCCAAATCGGACCAGGAGACCTACCTGCTCATCTCCAACCTCAGTTTGCCTGGCTTTCCCGGAAGCACCTCACTCTTAGCTCCTGTCTTGGTTGCCTGGACTCCTGCCACTCCATCCTACCCGGCTGGCCTCTGCTCTGCTCTGCCCGCTCAAAGGCTGGACCCCTCAGGCTTCCTTCCCGAGGATGAGCCCCGGCCTTGGAGCTGAGCCGGCCTGACCCCTGGGCAGGCAGAAGTGTGATCGGATTAGGCTGATTGGGTTTCAGGGGCCACCATTCCGCTGGCGGTCCCAAATGAGATCAGCGGGGAGTCAGCTCTCGGCCTCTGCCACACACCAGCTTGACTGGCTCCTGGTCACTGAGGGGAGACAGCGGTCCTCTCCACTTTTATTTTATTTTATTTTAGCCAAAATCTTAAGTGGCAGGAGCCTTGGCAGCTGGCAAGGCGCTCCACTGAGCTGCAAATGCAATTGGGGGAAGTAAGAGCTGTGGGGGCAGGGAGGCGCAGGCCCTGGGCTCTGGGGGCTGCTCTGCCCACTGCCCTTCAGGCCAAGAACTGACTGTGAAACCCAGCTCTGTGGCTTCTGGCATGGGACAAGGGACACCCAGGGTCCAGGGGGTGGTGGACCCTGGCATTCTCATCCAAGCAAAAGGTCGGCCTGTCCTTGGAGGACCGGCACAGTGGAAAGACATGAGGAAGAGGTGGATGCGGGGGTTTGTCCTCTTCTTGACTAGCAGAAGGTTCTAGGAAGAGTGTTGTGTGAGGAGCCCTGGCTAGGGACTGTATCCTGGGCCTGCCTTTGACTCTCCTAGTCTATGAGCTTTGTCCACTCCTTTCCCCTCTCTGAAGGAGGCCTAGCGTAGTGGGCAACTAACTGCAAGGTCTGAAGTTCAAAATCACCAGCCACTCTTCCAGAGAAAGAGCAGGCTTTCTACGCTGGAAGGAGTTACTGTCTTGGAAACTCACAGGGGTAGCTCTACCCTCGCCTAGAGGGTCACTATGAGTTGGCATCAATTGGAGGGCAGTGAGTTTGGTTTTTTGGGGGAGGAGGTCCCCTTCTCTGAGCCAGTTTCCCACCTGCAGCTTTTGCAGTTGAAGGCTCTCCTGTGTCAAGTTGCCACGAGAGACGGAAATGGCTACTGAGGGAGCCAGGTGGGGGAGCAGATCTCTGGAGGGGTGGGCAAGAGGATAACTCAACTGCCCCTGGGCTGGAAGGACATGCCTGACCAGTCCACTGGGCTTAATGGGCTCTGTGGAGTGTGGCCAGGCCTCCTCTGTCAGGGGGATCTGCACTGCCTGGGCTCCCCGTCTCAGCCCCACCCCACCAACCTGTTGCTCCCCCAGCAGGGTGGACTTGCTTCTATAGTAGTGTTTCCCAACGTGGGTGATGCTGCCCCCTGGGGGGCACTGGAGTGATGCAGGGGGGCTGCAAAAGCAGATTCCTACACTTTACCCTGGATTATCGTCTATGATATGAGTTTTTAATAGCCAGGGGGACGCTGAGTCTTTTTTTTTTTTTAAGAGAGGACAAGAGGCCAAATAAATTTAGGGATCTGTGTTCTACAGAGCCTGGCTCCTGGGGGCCTCATGGTCCCTCCCTCGAGGTTTGCTCCCATTTCCACAGTTCCCATGAGGGGCTCAGTCCCCGCTGTCTCAGAACATCCTCACCAGCCCTTTGGGGCCAGTTCTCCAGTGTGGAGAAGTTCCCCATTCAGGATCCAACCCTGGGAGCCCTGGTGACAGGTGGGTGCCACAAGACCCTCGCTGAGGATCCCACTACCATTTCTTATCCCCTCTTCCCACATGGAGGGCCCCCAGAGAAGGAGCCCTTTCTGATGGTGACTGGGGCGGGGGTGGGGTGGGGCGGGGGTGGGCCCGGCACATTCTGCCTTTCAGTCTCAGGGCCCTGCCGGGGTGGGGGTGAAGGAGGGTAGGGAGGGGGACTGCAGGACCGGCAGATGGCACTACCCTGGGTCAGAACCGCTATGGCTCATCTCTGCAGTGTTTTCAGGACCCTGGTGGTGCACCAGATTAAGCATTTAGCTGCTAACTATGAGGTCAGCAGTTCAAACCCACCAGGCACTCCTTGGGAGAGAGATGAGGCTCTCTGCTTCTGTAGAGATTTACAATCTCGGAAGCCCGATGATCGGAATGGGCTCAGTGGCAGGTGGGATAGAGTCTAGTCCAGGAACCTGGTGGCACACAGTTAAGCTCAGCGCTATGCAGCTAACGGAAAGGTTGGCAGTTTGCACCCACCCAGTGGCTCTGTAGGAGAAAAAGACCCAGTGACCTGATGGCAGCCTTGGAAGCACCCGACCACAGCAGCCTGGCACAGAGAGCAAGGCTGGGGCTGGGCCCCGGAGAGTGCCCTCCACAGCCTCCTTGTAGATTTCCCACTCCCCAGAACTGCTGGCGAGCCACGGAAAGGCTTTCTGAGGGGGAGAGGGGGTGACGGGTTGGAGCACTTGTAATTCTGAAAGGTCGTCTGAGGCAAGGGGGTGGGGCAAGGACAGGGCCAACTTTGGGTTGGCTGGATGGTACCCAACCTGCACAACCGTACGTGATGGCCGTGCCCAGCCCAGGGAGACAGCAGTGGGCACTGGGAGGGGAGGACAGGCCCAAGCCATGAGAGGGGGGATGTGGATGGCCCATGGACCTACGGGGCTCAGCTCTCCACTTCAAGGGTAGAGATGGAGATATGATTCAGTCCCTTCCAGAACATCAGGAGCGGGAGAGCACAGAGGGACACCAGGATCCCCCACCCCACCCCACCCCTGCCACAACCTGGAACCCCTTTCCCCACTGAAGAGGGCCCTGCACAAGGAGGAGGCACTGAGGAGGTGTCTCGGGGATCATTTAGTCTTTGCCCAGGTAGGGTAGAGGGGAAGGTGGTTTGAAAATAATACCCGTTTGGGAGCCAAACACAGGATTTCCTATCCCAGTGGCCATGCCATCTCGGGCGGATGGCTTGGGGCCTCTCTGTGCCTCAGCTTCCTCCTCTGTGCCTGGGCGATGGCTAGTGGTTTACCAAATGCATTCGGCATTCATTCATTCCTCTCTGCTTCCCTTCCTCTCAGGAGCACCGAGCCTTTGGCAAAACCTCCCTTCAAGATTCCGGGCAGAGCCTGTGGCTGGAGAAGTGAAGGCTAGGCTCGCCTCCCCCATGTAGAGTCTCAAGATAAGAGGGGGGCACAGAGCCCCTGGGGACCCCAGGCTGGTGCCAGTGGCTACTGCTGACACGGCTGTCCTGGGTGGACCTGCCGTGGGGAGGGGAGGGGCTGACTGCAGGCCGGTCCGTGCCATTCTTGCGGCCCCACAGAGCATGCCCCAGCTGGGCGCCTGGCCTCAGCTTTATGATGGGGGCAGTGAGGGTTGGGGCCAGTGGTTTGCAGTGACTGCTAACCTAAAGGCTGGTGGTCTGGATCTTACAGTGGCTCCGCAGAATAAAGTCCTGGTTGACCGGCTTCTGGAAGGATCCAAAAACAAAACCAAAAAACCCATTGCCAGTGAGTTGATTCCAGCTCATAGCTACCCTATGGGACAGACTAGAACTCCCCTATAGGGTTTTTAAAGCTGTAATATATATATATATATTCCTTTACATTTGGATGATTTTTGTTCTTGTTGAGAATAGGCACCAAAACAGACATGAATTCTCCGTGTACAATGACCGACCCGGCACGGATACCATTCTTCAAGTCGTAAGCGACCTTTCTCCTCTCCCCTCCCCTTCCCTTTCTGAGCTGCTCCTCCCTCCTGAACACAGACTTTCTGTCCCCCCGCCCCCCATCTCATCTTTCTAGTTGTTGTTGCCAACCTGATCCCATCTAGATCGTTCTTAAGGAGCTCTGGTGGTGTCGTGGTTTGGTTACACGTTGGGCTGCTAACCAGAAGAGTCAGCAGTTCAAATCCACCCACTGGTCTGCAGAAGCCTGGTGAGCCTTTAACGCTCCTGTGGAGATTTACAGCCTTGGAAACGAGCAGTGGGTTGGATGGGTCTTCAAAGAGCACAGTACTCAAAACACTTGTGTTAGCTAAGTGAAACAATTGTTTGGCTTTAAGAACACGTCAGGGGATCTTTTTAGTTTAAAGTTTAAAAGATTACCTCAGGGCAGTCATTTCAGTTTCATTCACCACCACCCCCTTCACCATCCCCCTACCCCATTGGCTCCAGAAAATCTAGAGTGTCTGAGTATTTGGAATTCTGTTCTGCATCCCTCTGCTCTGATCAGGATTCTTCTATGAAATCTTTGATCGAAATGCTCAGCAATGGCAGAAGACCATCCAGGTCTTCAGGCCTCGAGACAAAGGGGGCAGTCATTCATGGATACAATTACCCACACATGTCCACATCCTCCTCTTCCTGACTCTCCTTGCAAACCTTCACAGAAGCAGATGGCCACGTTTTCCCACAGAGTGGCTGCTGGGCTCAAACCGCTGACCTCCTCATTAGCAGCTGAGTGCTTAAGTACTGTGCCACTGGGGCTCCTGAAAGCTCTATGGGGCAGCCGTACTCTGCCACACAGGGGCTCACCATGTGCTGGACTGACTCTGTGGCAAAGGATCTGTTTGTTGGGTTGGGGGGCTGGGGGTGGGTGGCGAGGGAATAAAGAGTAGAGGGTTTCCCTATGCAAAGCCACTGGCTCCTGGCTCCCTCCCCTCTTTCATGCCGGCGGTGGCCACTGATTCAACCCCGCGTTGGGTCCTCTGATCCACATTCTTCCTTGCTGGCCCTCTGACTTTGGCTGTGGAAGACACCCGACCCCTCCCACTTTACCCCCAGGGTCTGAGAAATGATATGTGGCCCCAGCCTGGGAGCAGTGGAAGAGACTTGGTGTCTTCTTGGGGGAGGGGGAGTGGGGAGAGGGTGCTGCCACCAGGACCCCTTCACCTGGTGAGCACTAAGAAGGACCGCTGGATCTGCGGGGGACGTGAGGACTCACAGCGCCTGTCAGGAAGGGCTGGAATCTCATTTTGCAGCCCAAAGCTGCAAAGTGTTCACAACTCTCGTGGTGACGCATTGGGCTGCTAACCCCAAGGTCAGCAGCTCAAAACCACCAGCCACTCCACAGAAGAAAGACGAGGCTCTCTACTCCCGTGTAGAGTGACAGTCTCCCAAACCCACAGGGGCAGTTGCACCTGTCCTGTGGGGTCGTTGTGAGTCGGCATCGAGCCCATGACCCTGAGTTATGTTTTCTTTCTTTTTTTTAACCCGGGTGACCTCAGGCCTTTCACACTCCCCAAAGCAAGTAGGACTTTGAGCTTCAAGCCCTCCTCTCCCGGCACACAGTGGGTGCCCATCAGCCATGGGCCAACGGGTGGGTCGATGGGAGAGCCTTGGGTCACCCCACCCACTGCCCCACCGCCGGCCAGAGCTCCTCACCAATCATGTAGTCGCCGAAGCCCACGGTGCTGAGGGTGATGAAGGCGAAGTAGAAGCCCTCCATGTAGTTCCAGCCCTCCATGTAGGAGAAGAGCAGTGGGGGCAGCAGCAGGAAGAGCAGGAGGCCTGCCAGGAGGGCGCCGCAGCTCGCCAGCCAGCGCGCCTGGCCCGGGTCCTATGGGGGCAGGCACATCATGCGTGGGCGTGGGGGCGGGGGGACAGGCAGCCCCCGGGCACTTGTTCCCAGCAAGGGTGGGCCTCCCTCACCTAGTGTGGTTTTCCAGATCCCAGCCTGTTGGGAGTGGAATGGTGCTTCCCGCCCCACACCCCACACCCAATTTGAGGGGGCCTCAGACAGACTGTAGGAACCCCGATGGCATATTGGTTCTGAATTGGGCTGCGTTCCCGAAGGTCCGAAGTTCGAAACCACCAGCCGCTCCATGGGAGAAACATGGGGTCTTTTACTCCTATAAACAGTCTCAGAACCTCACAGGGGCAGTTCTACCCTGTCCTTATAAGGTCTCTGTGAGTCAGCATCGACTCTATGGCAGTGAGTTTGCTCTTTGGTTTTTGGTCACTTTGTGGAAAACTTCCACGATCTCTTCATCCCATCTCCCCGCAAGAACTTTGCGAAGCCTCCTTGGATGTGCTGAAATCCTCAATCCCTGTGGTCCTGACTCAAAGTCGGGAATAGGGTTCTCTGTGGTGTGATGAGGCCTTGGCTGTGTAACACCTGATCCGAACCACCTTCGAGGGAAACGCCAAGATCACCCAGAAATGGAAGGACAACAGAGCTGGGACTTGATGGCCTGGGACAGGAGCCCTGGTGGCTGGCATAGTGTTACGAGTTGGGCTACAAGGTCAGCAGTTCCAAACCACCAGCCCACCGAGGAAGAAAGATGGGGCTTCTACCCACCGAAAAAGTTATCCTGTTGCAACCCATAGCGGCAGTTCTACCCTGCCTAATAGTCGGCATCGACTCGATAGCCATGAGTTGGGCTTGGAGACCCCTACACTTCAAGGAAGCTCAGTGCGCACTGAGGCCACTGGCCGTGGGACTCTGAGACACAGACCATGACCCTGCTGTCGGCCCCGCCCGCCCTCTCCGCCTCCTTGCTGCTACTGCCGTCACTCCATCCTGAGTGTGGCAGTCCCCACAGTCATGCCACCCCCCACCAGTGACACCCAGATATACATATCACCCTGGCTTCCACCAAGGGCCCAGCCCCAGCAGGACCCTACCAGCCCTTCCTTCTGGACATGACCACCCCTCCCTCTCTGCTGGCCCTCACCGGCAAGGTGCCGCCCAGCTTGTGGGCGAAGCGGTGCATGCCCCTCAGCATGAGGTGGCCCAGGCGGTTGAGCACCACGAGGTTGAGCGGGATCCCCACTAGAGCGAAGAAGATGCAGAAGAGGCGGGCGGCCAGCGTGTGGGGGCTCAGGTTGCCGTAGCCTGGGGAGAGAGGGTGGGTGTGTGTCTTTAGGGCACCTTGCCTGCTCCCACCCTGCAGCCCCACTCCCACCCACTGCCCTGTGGCTCAGCCGAGAGTAGCTAACTCTTCTTGTTGCTTAGAATCCCCAGCCTGCAAATCCAAACTCAGCAGCTTCCTAGCTGTGTGACGTTGGGTAGGTGGCACAACCTCTCTGGGCCTCAGGTTCATCTGTGGAGGCTGTGGTCAGGATGAGATTGCATATGTGTGTGTGTGTGTGTGTGTGTGTGTGT